ACACCTCCCCAAAATATATACAAATGGCCCATGAGCACATGAAGAATTATTCAAATTTAGTGGTCATTAAGGAAATACAAACGAAAAGTCATGGACTACCACTTCATACTCACTAGAATACCAATAATAGTAGTGATGAAAATGGAAAAGAGCAAGTATTGGTGAGAATGTAGGGATATAGGAATCCTCATACATTGGTGGGAATGTATAATGATACAATTGCTGTGAAAGTTTAGTGGTTTCTCATAAAGGTAACAAAATTGTCATATAACCCAGACTTTCTACACCTAGCTATATTCCCATGGTAAATGAAACATTTGTCCACATAGAAACTTGTCCATGAACATTAATATTACAGTACCATACTTCATGGTAGCCAAAATGTAGAAAGGGCCTAAAGATCCATAAGAGGATGAGTGGATAAATAATTTGCAGTATAAACATGCAAGAAATATTACTCATCCATAAAATTAAATGAAGCACTAGTCTATGTTGCAGCGAGGATGAATTTTGGAACCATTTCATATGAAATTTTTAAGCCAGATGTAAAAAGTGTCACATATTGTCTGATTTCTTTTAAATGAAACATCCAGGATAGGGAAATTCATAATTATAGAAAATTAATTTTTATTGCTGGGGAAAGGGAGAATGGAGTCTGGTTTCAAAGTGAGAGTGTATGTTCTTTGATGTTGAGAGCGGTGACATGTTCTAATTTTATATTTCTTCCTTTTTAAGAGTGCCTTAAGAGTAAGATATCACACACACTCTCAGAATTGGATTGAACCAAGGCCAAAACTGGGCCACGGGTACCTGGTTCCTAACTCCCTTGAAATTTACGTTGGTTATCTTTCATGAGTATATACTCAATTACTATGCTGAATTTGAAAATATATATATATATAATATATATATATATATATATATATATATATATACTAACAGATTAATTACAGAAACATACAGGGAGTGCCTATTTTGTAGTGGTCACGAGAACTAGGAGCTGAGAGGATAAGGGCCAAGTGCTATGGCAAGCTTAATATATGATAAGTACCTTTACGCTTTGCACTGGGATCCTGCCATACTAGCTTCCCTCACTTACACATCTCTCCTAGAACCACCATCCAATAAGAGCTTCATACACAAGTCCTCACTTCCGGTACTGGTGATACTGATTCAAGACTCCATATATTATATATCCCTAAACTCTTTGCTGTTCCCTATTCTCCTGTTAGATGGGCATAGAACAGGAAATCTTCATGTCTCAGAGAAGATAAAGGCGTTTTCTTGCCTTGTGTATCTGAAAAGTGGACAGTGTGAGATGAAAATGCAAAGATGTCTAGATGTTAGGTTCAGGCCTCATTCCATCAGACAACACTGTTCCCACTCCTGCTTCAATTAAAACCATTGCAAAATGCCTAGGCAACTGTCTAGGTTTAAAATTGGCCCCCAGGTCCCATTTCCTTCATTCCAGGGCTCTGATAAAACATATGGTCCTTTCTAAATGCAAAGTCATGATGATTCTCTGTGATCTGGTGCTCATAAAATCATTATTTTTCTTCCTCTCCTCTCAAGGGCACAGCCCAAGTCCCTGAAACTTTCCTGTTTAAAAAAAAAAAAAAACTGAACAAATACATGAGATTTTTTTTTTAAATTTTTAGAAGAACTTGCCTAAATTTACATCCAAATTCCTAGTAAGCAGTTGTGACCCACTTCCATTCAAGCGCCTATTCTCGTTTCAAGGGCAACTACAGAAAGAAGTCACTGCGTTTATCCCTCACATATCCCCAGCTGAGCTCCTTAGAGGACAATACACCTGCTCGCTGAGTGCCCTTGCAATGCTCCTGGTTACACAAGAAAGGTCCTGGGATACAAGGCTGTCCATGCTTTTATCTCAGAACATGGAAAAACTATTTCCAACCTGGCTCCTTTGCCAGACACTTAATGTGTATCCTCAGCTCAGCCACAGACTCCAGCATTTCTCAAGATGCAAAGATAAAGCCATGCAAAGTCTTATCTAATAGGGTGGTCCTCTGAACAAAGTGAGGATACAGCAGTGTATTCACTGTGCTCATCACAGTTAAGCTCTTGCCATATCCCACTCCCCCACAAATACTCTTTCTTCCATGTAAGATGACATGCCCTTTCAGAGTGGTGCCTCTTAGAGAATTCATAAAGAAAAACTAAAATGGGCAAAGATAGACAGATGTCAGTCAAGAGAGTGGTCATGTTTGCTTGTTTTTTTTTTTTTTTTTTTTTTTTTAAATATACTTTATCTCCATGAAGACAGAGAAGACAAAGAACAAATAGACTTCGTTTTGATTCCCCCAGAGCAACCCAAGTGTAGCTTTAGCTTTGATTAGAAAATTAGGTTTACAACTTTATGTAAATGAATAAAAAGAAAAAAAAAGACAGACATTTCCTCTTCCTTCTTCTTTCTTTTTCTCTTCTTCCTATATTCTTCTTTCATCTAAAGGTCACAGGTCACCCTTTCTTTCTTTGTGACTAGGTCCCACTTACTTCTATTTGTCCAGGGTCTTGGGAGGAGGGGATTGTAGGTAAGCCAAGCCTGCTCCCTTGTACCTTATGGTCTTTGCAATAGTGGGATGCTTTCTGACTGGGTGTTTATACCTCCAGGTTCATTTCTGCTAAGCCAGCTTTCTTATCTCCTTCAAGATCTTGCTTAAACTGTACCTGTATGATGCAGCTTACGCTGTCCTTTTCAAATCCTGCCCATCTGCTTCCCTCTGGTATTTAGTTCCTCTTTATTATATTCTCTTTGGCATTTATCACTTCTATGCTATGTAAATTATTTACTTTGTCTATGGTTGATAGTTTGTTTTTCCCACAATAGGACAAAAGCTTCTTAGAGACAAGTTCTCTGTTCCTTTTGTTATCTGTAGTTGATGTCAATGAATGTCATCATGATGCCCTGCCACTGCCCCCACCTTCAGAACCTTCCCAGTTCCTGGGAAGCTGATAGCTCAAAAGTTTTCTTGGAATTGTGCTCTGCTGAAGAGCTTCATCTTGCCCAGTGTCATGACCTTCCTCAGGGATGACCCATACCCAGTGACTAGGCAAACAGGCAAACTTGACTTCATTACCTCAATTTGGAACAACTCTGAAGGGTACCCATGTTCTATAACTCCATGGCAGGTGGGCTGAGACTACAGCAATTACTGTTGTAATTGCTTCTCTCTGGATCAGCTTATCTTCCCAGGCTTATTCCCTTCAACTTCTCAGGTGCTTCTTGGGTATAAATCCCAAGAACATTCCCTTAAAGCTTCCAGCTCTGCTAATCTCTAGCTCAGAGTTTATTTCCCAGGGAAGTCAATCTGGAATATTTAATGATGTATCCCAAGAATCTACCACAGTGTGTAGCAGTTCAAAGTTCCTTAATAAATATCGAATACACAAATGAATGAATGTAAAAAACCAGAACTTTCTATGAAACATCAATGTGGACAACCAAATATTTACATATATCTATTTAAAAGTCAGAACTTTCATGCTGTAGTATTTCTCATTTAACCACTCATGACATTTATTAGGCATCTACTATGTATTGATAGATGATACATCAGTAAATTAAAGGAACAAAATTCCTTCCCCATAAATCTTCAAATTTCATGCTGGAGTCAAAAAATATGCAAACAAAATGCACATTAATAATGATGAGCCACAAGGGAAAAGAAAGCATTATAAAAGGAGACAGGAGGCTAAAATGAAGAAAAGTGGACAGTGACCAGAAAGTAGTATGCATTTGAAGCAATCAACAGTCAGTGGTTAGATCATGCAGGCCTTGTTGAGAATTTATAATTTTATCCTAAATGTGATGAGGTGACATTGAAGAGTTTTAGGAAGATGGCATGACCAAACGTATGTTTTCCAAAGAAACCCATTCTCTAATTGCTCCCGGCAGTTTTAGACATTTACCAACCTCCTGTCAAGTTGTTCTGTGACATGTACAGTTGGTTTTTCAAGGAAACCCACAGGAGGCTGCTATCCGTTGGTGCCACTATTTAGTATATTTGAATGTCACAGAACACTTTTATATACTTAATTTTAAAACACAATCGGATTTTATTTACACATTTCAGGAACCCACCATTTTTCAGGGAACAGACCTTCTTTAATCTTCTTAATCTTAAAATAGAGACCATGGTCTCCTTTTACAGATGAGAACACTGGGAGTCACAGAAGACACATGACTTTTCCATGTTTGCATAGCGAGTAAGAGACAGAGATGCTATTGAACTCAAATCCTCTTATTTTCTATCTTGTATTTTTTTATATAATGCTTATCCACATGTATTTGCTCTCCTTTTTTATGGTCTGGGTCAGGGAATTAATTAATAAGAGAAATGACCATTCACTGTGCATAGGTTAGGCCACTTAGATGCAGCATTTGACTTGGCCCCCAAACAGTCTTATGAGTAAGTATGATGGTCTGCAGTTTGAAGATGAAGACTTTACAGTATAACACCTTGTAGTCATCCTGTGGTACATCAACTGGCATCCTCAGCACCACCTGGGAGCTTGTTAAAAATGAAGAATCTGCAGTCTCTGCCTATGAAACCAAGATGATAATAGCTTTGTTATGTATTTATTGCCTTTCTTCCTTTCATTGTTCATATGACTGGACAAAACATTCATGTTCTCTTTACAAATGAAGACTATGATTTAGTGGATCTGCTAACATTCCATTAGCCACAGGATAAGCCTCCCATTGATGCCCAGATACATGCTCTGTCCAAAGAGCAAAAGAGAGGGTTAACCAAACTAAATGGTTGACTCAACTATCACAGAGGTTATTTGAATCTTGGTCATTTTATTCAACTTACCCTTATTATCAAATGGTATGTGTCAAAATTTTTTGCCATTGTTTTCTGGAATCTACTACTAAATTTAACTAATTGTCAAATGATTGTTTTAAAGCATATACAATACTCTCTGGGGAAGGAATTCAGGAAAACATAATTTTCTGTGTTGTCTCTCCCCAGGAAGGCCTTATTCCTTATAGAATGGCACCTCAGACAGCTGCCTGGATGAACCTCCCATTAATCCAACTCTGTTCCTATTCTAAAAGAAGATTAAAAGCTCGTCGCCTATAGATGAATGATTCGGCATTAAATCAGTGAAGACTCCTGCCTACCCTTTCATCTATGAGGTATGTTAACCTTATGAAAATATATTAGACTCCAACCTTATCCCAGTCAAGAAATGGGATATTGATAGGATGATGGAACCTCCCTCTCAGGCTCCTTTCCCATCACTATGCCTCAAAGTACATCCACTACCCCAACTTCAGCCAACATGTTAATTTTTTTGTTTCTGTGCTCTGGATATATGGAGTCATACAGTATGTTCTTGTGTGTCTTATTTCTTTCACTTACCACTATGTGAGATTTACCCATATTTTTGCATATAGTTGTAGATTATTACTTCTCATTCTATGTAACATTTATGTACTTATGTATTCTGTACAGAGAAGAACAATTTGGAAGCTCCTAGCTTTTAGCTATTAGGAATGATTCTGCTATAAACATTCTACTATAGATATTCTGTTTAACTTACACACGCAAGTCTTTTGGGTACACAGCTATGAGTAGAAGCATGGTGTCATAGGATTTATGTATATTCAGCTTCAGTTGATACTTTCAGCTTCTATTTAACAGGGTCTATTTTAGGGTGAACTAGACTTACTCCTTGATATGTGTGATTTTGACTGGCCATTTAAAATTCAGTAAACCCAAATGAGCTTAAGATATTTCTGGGCCTAAGCTATTCTTTGGTTGGAATTAGGCAGTTCTGAAGATGCACTAACTTCTTTATGATCCTGGGTCTCTATGCAATTTATTACTCATAGATTTGTAAAAGATGAGGATCTTTGCCGCCAAAACTGTCATAGACAGGGAAAATAGTCTAACACATCATCACTCAACATTCTCCTGGGATGATGAATTTGGAAAATTGCTATCTTTTTAGGGTTCCAGTTTCTCTTCATAGAGAGTCAGGCCTCGTAGCTCAAAGGCTATACTAATGAGATTAGTGCTCTGTGAGGGCAGGAGATGGTATTGTCTCTCTACAGATATTTGCATATCTGCCTCTCTGTGGAGAGAGACAGAGGGTTAGAAAGTAGAATTTGAGGGAGGACAGACTCTTTGGAGGTAAGAGATAGAACGAAAGGCACTACTACTTCTACCGAATACCATATCTTATCATCTCTCATGGCTCTAAGAGCTTTGTTGCGCAGTGTCTGCTGGTCAGTCACAACTGACAGATTTATCCAAGAGCCTCCAGACTAGCCAGGATAAATGTTGAAGTGGTCACCATACTCCAAAGGACATATCAGATAGATGTAAGTGACCCATGGGAGCAAGAAGACAAAATGTGCAGAGGAAAACTTCCTCACAGCACCTTAGTTAATAGCAGGATGAGACTTTCTATTCTGTCTGCTGTATGACTGTCCTTGGGTAAGTATAAAAATCAGTTGGAAAACTTCCTCCACAGAGTTTCCACTTTGGTAGATAAGACATAAAAATATTTTAGGAAACAGGACATGATTCAAATACAAATAATGATACAAAGTGGCTCGTAAGAGTACAAGACAGGGAACACTTATAACTGTATAAATGATCTCAATGAATTTTTTAATGAGATAGCCAAATGGAACAATTATGCAATACATAATATGGTTAAAATGTGCATCTAAATAATATTCAGTTATGCTTTTTAATAAAGTTTTTATCTCAGTAAAAAATAGACTAAAAGTAGTATTCAAAACCTTGGAAGAAATCAGATGCACACTCCAGTAAAGAAATTGAAGAAAGTTAAAGGAATGTGTTTACAGGATTAAGGGAAACTGGCACGAATCAAGAAGCCACTGCAGTTAGCAGGAGTCAAGGGCTCTGTATCAATCCTAGGGTGAAAAGGCTTGGGAGAAGAAACAACAACTAGCGTCCAGGAGCTGTATTTGTAGGTGGGGAATCAGCCAACTTGTAGCCAACTGACAGAAGGGAGCCAAACTTCACTTTCTATCAGTCCAGTCTCCTATTGGTGTCCACCACTGGATGAATCCAACTAGAAAATAGGAGGCAAAGGATCTGTTGATGCAGTCTTCTAAGATAAGCTCCTTTTGCTCCCAGGTGGAAAAGAACTCTAAGGACATCATATGGACAGTTAATTTTTCTCAATAAATGAAGCAAAACTCTATTTTTGATTATTTTTTAAATGCATACCTATTTTACTGTTATTTAATGTCCATTCAACACATCTGGCTCATTATGCATTCTTTAATTAGGGTCTAAATTTGTAAACTCCTTTTCCCAGTGATGAATACCAGAAGTTCTTTTCTTCTTTTTTTTTCCCCCCTCCTCAGCTGGCTTTATCTGGCTGAAAGATTTATTTTTTTTTTAAGCAAATGTTAGAGGGTTATGTAAAAACTTTGAAAAAAATATCAACAATCAGCTTCAAAAGGTGAACACAAAATTTCCTGAGGCATCTATAATTATATTAGAATTTTACAGAGAAGATATTATCTTCTAACTCCAAGCCTATATTTAGGTGCTACAATACCTAGTTGCATCCTGTTTAGTCTCCTTGACTATTGATTTAGGAATTCACATAACTATTCCCTGCTCAATAGAAAAGATTGCTTAACATAGCAACTCCTGCATTAGCATTCAACTTCCTAGTTACAGAGCACCTTTCTAAGGAGGAGGAACATCAACACGCAAAGTGAACCCAATTTTTTAAATACAATTTTAAGGGGGAAGGGTATTATATTAAGATTTGTAACATTGAAGACATCCCAAGCTAGAAGCTTGCAATTGTCTAAGGTTTCTTTGCAATTAATCTACATATTTTTCTAATTCTGAGCATTCTGTTCCTATTGCATTTTTATAAGCCAAGATGGGTGGGAAATGATAAAATATTATGTGTAACCTACAAGGAGGCTTGCTGCTCTCCAACAGGAGTTTCAATGTCAGCTTTGCTTCAGAATAATGTTTCTTTCTTCCTTTAGAAAAAGCCAAATTCCTGGTCCTGCCACTCAAACTCTCAAAGTGAAAATATTTGGTCTAATTTTCAAGTATACTTCCCTGATGTCAATCAAGTGTCTGAAACGTTAGTGATTGTTTTTACCACATACTGTGAAGTGAGGTAGCATTTTAATTAGGGAAGAAAAAAGAAATTGACTTGTGTTAAAAAAATGATAGTCAAAGCTTTTGGGGACTGAACTAACAGGTAGAGACTTGGAAGTTATGATTCCTATGTCATTAATCAGATCCTCTCTGAACCCTGTTTTGGAATTCCACTGATTAAAAGGAGCTGATTTGGCAGAGCTTGATAATGCTGCTCTCAGATAAAGGTGGTAAGACTGGAGGTGTTAGTGGCTTGAAGTCCTGCTTCAGTTCAAGGGAAAGTTTTATCTAAAGGAAGATAATAGTTGAAAGGAAAAATAAAAATCCTGGGCTCAATGACTTCAGGAGAACTGTTGGATAATAGAGGTCAAGAGAGGTGATCATGATGTTATATCTAGGGAAGAATCCTGGGGAAAGAGAGACTGAAGAATGGAATTGAACTTTCTGTCCAGGAGAAAGCTCTTCTTATCTGCTTTGTGTCCAGAGCTTTGCCTAGATTCCAAGAGGCAGGCTAGAAGTTTGAATGAGAACACATTCCTGATTGAAGCTGGAGCAATAAGTAAGGTTTCCCACATATATTTTTATCCTGGGCACTTATTCCCCTGGAAATGTTATGGGCTTTGCTTTCAAATTAAGCTTCACTTCTCCAGCCTTGATCAAAAATGAGAATCTAGGGGCTTGACAGACATATTGCCATTAATTTTCATGAAGACTTAACCTAGCAAAGAAGGGCCTAGCTTTCCATGGAGACCTCAGCATGGATGTGTACTGTCTGTGAAATAATCAGAAAGGTTCATACAGATGGAAAAGTGGAATGAGGAATCAGCTTACAAATCGATTTAACCCGGCCCTTGACAGTTATCTCGGCTTCACAGCATCAAATGACAGATGGATCAGCTAATGGATGATTATACTATTAACAATGTCAATATTTTCAGTTGTTACCATTGTTATAAGATCCCTCTCATGAGCTTGGTACCCGAACTTTGGCAAATATTAATATCCCAGGTAATCTGGAAAACTCATCAGCTCCATCCACTGCTATTATCTGGTTCTGGGTAGGACCTGAGAATCTGTCTTTCTAACAAGTTCTTAATTAGGTATTGCCATTGTGTTGACTGGGGGCCACAGTTTCAGTAGCACCAAGACTCCTCAGGCTGCACAGAAGTCTGTGTTTCCACAAGACTCCAGGTGAAACTGATGGTCACCAAAGACTGAGAAGAACTGTTTTAAACCTCTGGTTCTTAGTCTTAGTGCCACCCTGGACCTACTGGAGGAGGTACATAAAGACTGTTGATGGCTGGGTCTCACCCATCTCTTCTGATTGAAACTGAAGTGGAAAGCAGCCTTCCATGGAGATTATTAGAAGTTCCCCCAGAGGACTCCAATGTGCAGCCACAGTTGAAAACCATTCCCTACACCATACCTTCATTTCCAAGCTGAGAGTCAAGACTACCTGCCATTTTTCCTTTTCACTACGCTGCTATGTAAAAAGAGCTGGCTAAATTCTAGCATGTGAAAGGAAATTAGCTTTCCCAGCCTTGTGTGAAGTCAATCCCAGTTTACCTTAGGTACTGTAGGGAGTGGGAGTAATGAAGGACTCAATTCAAAAGCGCAGGAAGTGAGTCAGCCGGAAGAGGTAGAAATTTGGGCAAAAGAGCAAGTTCTATAAATCTATAGAAGTGAAACCCATTTAGTTACCTCTGAAGGGCCAAATGTGCTATTTAAATTGCTCCAATAGAGCATTCAGTTTCACAGCTGTCTGTGGCTTTAAGGCCAAATTCTCATTCCCTAAAGTTAAGAAACAGAAGTAGGAGCACTACCAAAAGCCACACAGACTACTGAGATTTTAATTAAGCCCCAAAGACTTTAAGGACCCCTGTCCAGTATTCCTAAATGTGCTATTCTTTGCCAAGTGGTGCAAATAGATTTCTCTTGACCTTCCCTGTACTTGACCCAGATCTCTTAAGTCTGTATATTGTTAACATAAAAGGATGCCCACATTTTAAATTTCAGATAATAAATT